AGCAGCAGCCAGCTGCTGGGAGCCAAAGTGGCCATACCTGGAAAGGGGCAAGAAAAGGCTATGTACTGGGATATGAGGGGGAGGGTGTAATGAGAAAGTGCAATAAAATGGGGAGGGATAGTTTTGGACAAGAACTACAATGCAGAGTCAAGTCTGTTTGCCCCAGGCCTGGCACTGAGTGCTGGGTATGGCAAAAGTAAAGTCCCAGGCAGTGGGGCCCGTGGGCGTGCTCCAGACCCTATGCTAGTACAGGGAGCATCACATCCCTCCCTAAGCATCTGCCATCACTTCAGCTCTCCTGGTCTTTCTCGTGGGCAAGAGAAGGCCATAGTTTGGATATGAGAGACTGCCTGGTGTGTGCAGGAGGAGAGGAGCCATGGTGAGGCACGTGGTGTGGCAGTCAGGCCACAGAAGTGTCAGTCCCTGGCAAGTGGGGTGGCCCAGGCTGGGCATGTGCTTCAGGAACACGTCCAGGACACTGAAGCTGTGAAAAGTGAGGCTGTGAGATAGTGAGGAATTGATAATTGAGATACAGCTCCCTCTCATTTAAGGTCAAGACAAATGTTTCAGTAACTGAGTAATTCTAGCCATGAGATTTTTGAAGTGGGAATTAGAACCATTTTCACATTTCCTATTCTAAAATGCAGATGTGAAAGTTGACTTTGAAGGTCTGGCCAGTTCATTCTCTAGGCTTCTATGCAAGTTTTCATATTTGGGGCTGATGATCTGGAGACAGATAAGAGGTATAATGAAATAACACAGTAACAATTGGTTTCCCTCTGGTAATTGTGATAAAGAGGTTGGGAGAATTGAATCACATGTGTATGCCACCATCGCTCTCAATGAGACCTGACAGACATGACTACCGGCATCCTACCCCGAGGACCACACTGCCAGAAAATTACAGGCTCCATCTTTGACTTTGAAGACCTACTAAGCACCTTGATAGCGTCCAACGCGTTTTGCCCCTCTGCTTTTATCATAACCCCGACTTTTCAACAGTCACCTCGTCGCCCATGCCCTGGCAGAGCAGGATGTGGGCATGCAAAGGCCCCTGCCCGCAGCAGCCCACGCCCGCAGGCAGATCCGGTGGCAGCAGAGGCCCGGAGCGGGCAGGGCGGCGTCGAGCCGCGCCTCAACATCAAACGGGGGCAGCGGCGGCGACACCTCAGGTCCGCGGGGGAAGAGGGCGAGGAGTAAGGGGCAGGGAGGGGAGGCCTGGGGCCGTGGGAGCGTCTCGCCGGGGTAGGCACGGCCCGTGGGGGTGGGTGCCGCCAGGGTCGTGTCCGGGCACGGCTGGGGAAGGTGAAGCCTGCAGGCAACAGGTGAGGCGGAGGCAGGGAACTCTGCCGGGCCCCGGCTTGCAGGAGGCGAGGGAGGATGTGCGGGGGCCGGGGGCTGTGCCCGCGGGAAAGGAGCCGGCGGGAAGGAGGGTGCTCTGGCACCCGCATCAAAGGAACAGGGAGGGCAGAGGCGGGTGCCCGACATCAAAGCCCGGGCTGGTGACCGGGAGGGCAGCGGTACACACGAGGGGAGCCCCGCGGCACCGCGGGTTAGGCAGCGAGAGAGCGCACCGGGGCGCGCCAGCCGCTGCGGCCCCGGGTGGGACTGGAGATCCCGGCGCCGGGGGGAGCGGGACAACCGGGTCGCGGCTTGAGAAGCCTGAGGAGGGCGGTGGAGCCCCGCCCATGTTTCCCGCCCGCCGGTGGGCCTCTGCCGCGGGAGGACGGGCGGGCGGCAGGGTACAGGTCCCGAGGCTGGCGGAGGGGCGGTGGGCCCCTCGCCCCGCCGAGGGGAGAGTGGCCAGGCTTGTCCTACAGCGCCTTCTCCTGGAAGAGGCCGCCGAGACGTGAGGGCTCGTGGCTGCGGCCGGGGCCTGTCGCGCCCCCGGCGGTGGCTCCACGGCCCGGCTCGGCGGCCCTGAGGGCGGGGGCCGCGGGCAGGTGACCGCGTCCTGGTCCGTCGGGGCGTGCGCCCACACGCGGACAGAAGCGGCGGAGCCGGGCCACGACGGCGGGGCCGGCAGAGCGGCTGAGGTGACCCCCGCAGCCCCGCAGCCTCACGGGCTTCAGCTCCGATGGCTCCCGGCGTGGGGCGCTGGGTAGGCACTGCGGAGTGCCTCCCCTTCTCGCCGCCCCCTCCCCCGCGGGAGATGGGAGGCGAGTGCTGAGTTTGGGCAGAGCCTGCTGCCGCTGAATGCACTTTTATTGCCTCTTGTCTCCTCCGCGCCCCGCCCGGCCTCCGCGACCTGCTGCAATGTTTATTGTGCCTCATCTTTTCCTTTCGCTTCCTGTTTTTTCCTCTCCCGCTCCAGCAGCATTGAGTGCCGCACTGCAGTAGAGCAGTAAATACCTTTAACAGCTGCCTGCCAACCGAGGGGTGAAATACAGTCTTTGTTAGAATTTTTTTTTCTGTCCCAAAGCGCTCATAAAACACCCCGTGAGAATTCTATATTTTTCGAGGAACGAGAAAATGAATCGGCGGGATTTTCAGTTCTTAAGAACGCAAAACCAACGTGTATATGGTCTCCTAGTCTTATCAGGTTTCCCGGGTGCGCAGTTCACATCGCCCCCCTCTCCTTGCACCAAAGCTCTGCCAGACTCGAGGGACAGAGGCTACACTTCTCTTCCAGCAACCTGCAGCAGCTAAGCGGGAGCCAACCTGACTTCCCAAATGGCAGCCGGTGCCAGCGGTACCCCGGCACTGCCAGAGAGAGAAGGCTGCAGCTTCCTGGCAGCTGCTTCGCGGTGCTGTTTTTGTATTGCCTGTGCGTCAGTAAAGAGTGCATTGGGAATCGGCTGTTTCCTTTCAACACACACACACACACACAAAAAAAATAAAAAAGAAAAGAGATGAATCATAAATTCTGCCCAACACATCGGGAAACGAAACAATTGCGAGAAATTTGACTGTGAATTTTGTACTAAAAAAATTTCAGCACACCAACACATCTATACTCATACCACGTTTTATAGGCGTATAAATAGATATAAAAATACGGTCCTCATATGTACATCCAAATATATACATGTGCCATATATATAAACATAGTATTTATTTGCTGTGACTACTTACAATTCCATAGGTATGTTTAAGAATATAAACAGACCTATGACAGACTTGAATGTTAATAAAAAATAAATAAATGCATACATACATCCGATAAGAAAAAGAATAAGAGCAAAAGCAAGCCAGGAAGGAAGCCATTTAGGAAAAAAAATCAAAAACAAAACAAAACAAAAAAAAGCAAACCAAACCCAAAAAACCAACAAAACCGAACTCTCACATAAACCAGTGGAATCATAAATGCATATGTGTATCCGTATGTGTCAGCAGATGGACCCGCAGACACACACATGCACATTAGAATTCGTTAGAACATCCTGCTTTTGTTTTTTTCTTTCCCCCCAGGCTACGAATAATTTCAAAACAGCTCAAGGATGAGATTTTCCGAAGTTTTTGGAGAGATTTATAGTCAAATAGCTGTAATTATTGTGTCACCTAGGAGGGATTCTGAGAGTGAAACTTAACGCAGCGCATATTTTCCACGTTATTCTTGAAGACTGTTGCTATGTTGAAAACGATTCGTCCCAAATAATCCCCAATTCCATCAGGAGCGCAGGGCGGCCGGCTAGTGCAAACAGGCAAAGCGTGGGGGACAGGTATCTTATCGTTTCTGTAGTGGGGCTCTGGCTTAGCAGGCTGGAGGGGTGCTCGGGGGTGGATTAAAGAACAATTTCTTCTGTGGGTTCAAAATATGTACTCGGGGCATGACTCGCACCTTTCCACCCTCACTGTGTATTGTTCATTCAGGCGTTTTGCTTTACCGTCAATTAACTGGCTGCTTTCGGGGTAAACGGAGAGTCGGTAAATTCCTGCAGTGCAACAGCACGGCGCACTTGCAGCCACCGACCATCGATGTGAACTCCAAATACCAAACGGCGGGTTTTCTACCGTGCACTAGCAGTTTGAAAATGAAGATGAGATGAGTAAAGCATATATACGTTCACAACAACGCACTTCCGACGAATATGTGCTCTACAGAGAGAAGTAGAGGTGTAGATACGATATATATGTATACAGGTAATGTGAATATAAATGTATATACATATATAACGCAGGAATAGTTTACTTAACTATTCTATCTCCTCGACATATTTCAGAATAAACCCAAGGATTTGTTGTTGTGTTTATTTTCGAGAACTCGGCCCCCATTTAGCCCCCGATGATTTCCACGTGGGTAAGCAGCCGTACTGCGGGCGTGCGCTCCTGGCCGTGTCCCGGCGCTGCGCTGCTGCCGAGCCCGGCCCGTGCGCTACCCCGAGCCGCTCGGAGCCGCAGCCCTGGCTCCGCGCCGCAGCGGGACAAGGATGTGAGAAAACGTCCCGGCGGGGCAGCCTAGGGCTCCCGGGCTGGCCCCGGGCACAGCCCCCGGCTCGACCGGCTCGGCGGAGCCGCCCCGCGCCCTCCGCCCCCGCGGGAGCACTGACCCCGATTCTCCTGCGAAAACACCTGTTAAGCTTTAAAGTTACTCGACCGCCCTTCCGCCATGGGGAAAACAAACTAGAGCATCACCGCAGCACGCTTCAGGCTGGCAGGGGAAGAAAGTATCCCAAAAGCAGAGGGCCTTATATTGGAAGAAACCCCACCGGCAGGCGAGGCGCTGCCTGCACGCACCGCGCCCCAGCCTTCCGCCCCTCACCGCAGAACACCGAGACATCGTGGCCCGCGGCTCATTTTCCGTGAGAGACCGCGCGCAACAGCCGCTCTCACTCTGCGGCATGCCCACAACCACTATTAATAATAATAACACCACCGATAATTACAACAGCAAGAACAAGAGCAATCATAGTGGTAAAAATTGTAATAGCGATACTAAAAGGAATAAGAGGGGTTTTCGAGGGACAGGTGACGAAGAGGGACGGGAGGACAGGGAAGCCGGTGCCGTGCCGCATATCGCGGAGTACCGGCGACCAGCCCGAGGGGAACCGAGTGCTTACCAGTTCGCGGCATTGCCCGCCTGTGGAGGAGCCCGGGGAGGGTCGCTGTAATCCATTTTGCACCCGCGTAGCAATCCGTGTGCTGGAGGAGATAGCGGCAGCGGGGCATCGAGCGGTGGGAGAAGAGCGAGGGGCTGCAGGCGGCGAGGCAGCGGGCGCGGGTCTCCGCGCATCCCTCCGTGGGCGCGGGAGAGGAGGCGGCGCGGGGCCGGGGAAGTGTCAGTGCAGCCGCGCCGGGACCGGCCGCGGGTTTCGGGGAGCGGGGCACAAACATCAGGGAGACTGCCATACACCTCAGCCTAGACAAAGGTTAGAAAAAGAGGGGCTGAGGCTCTCTGAAGGCAGAATGCAGGGGGAAATTCGCCAGGGAAATCAGGAAAAGGCCATGAAAGCGCTCGCTGCCTGCACATGACCAGCCGCAGCCAATGACGAGCCCAAATAGGTCATAAAAAGGTCTATTACCAAGTTGTAAATTTTCTTCAAACAAAAAGGAATTTACTGCAATTCCTTGCGGATTTTGCACATACTGCTTCCCAGCGCCATGTTTCTTTCGCCTGCGCGCTGCGCTTTTACTGAGGCTCCGGTCCCGCCTGCCCTCGGCCTGCGCGCCACGGGCGCGGTGGCGGAGCCCCGCGAGCACGGCCGGGACGCGGGAGATCCGCGGGGGCCGCGGAGAAAGGGGCAAGCGGCCGCGGAACCGCAGAACCATGGGCAGGGTGCTGAGCCCAAGGATCCGTTTCTTGCCAAACGAAAGGGGGCTTAACCCGCATCCCCACCCTCTTCTCCCACCCCTCCCCACGGCTCCGCCGGGCACTAAAAGAAACCACATCTGCTTTAGCGCCCACTACTGAAGCGGAAGCCGTCGCCGACATAAAAATTGTCCGAGCCTCTTCCCCCACCCCGCAGTGCGCGGTTCCCGCAGGTTGCGCCGGGCGCTCTCACCGCGCCCAGTGCAGGCTGCTTCCACCCCCATAAAACCTTCCCGGGGCAACAACAGGGAAAATCCGATTCCTAGAAAGTATTCTGGAAAAAAAAAAAAATTAAATGGGCCTGTGTCCGCAAGGAATACTCGGCTCGGAGACGGAGTACTGTGAATGTTTCTTGTCCAAGTTTTGTTTCAGGGAATAGCCAGAGCCCTCATACCCGCTGATTGTAACTGCTAACAAAAGTAAACACGCCTAAAGATGTAGGATCGATGTTGGATCTTTTTAACACGCTGCTTCAGGCAGTTGCACACCTTTGAATATTGTCTAGGCGGAGGCTATGGCAACTTTCGTGGTGTCCCTGCAGCGCTCACGGCCGCGCTGAGCTGCTCCTCAAGGGAACGGGAAAATTCCAAGGAAACCAAAGGCGCGGTATATCCGCTCTGCTGCCGTCTCAGGCGGCCTCTCCCCGCCGCTCCCGCTGCAACCCGCGTAGCTACAGCTTCTCCTTGCCAAAAGTCCGATGGCTTCGGTTTTACAGGGGACTCGGTGGCCACCTGGGTCAATTTCTGACTCCGTTTTCTTTTTCCTTAGCAAGTTTCCAAGTGAGACAGAGGGAGAGATTCAGATGCCAGGCTACAGGGGTAAATACCTTAACAACTACAGCGATGTTTTGTTTTTTCTTAATGAGTAAGACAGGGGCGATTCCAGCTACCACTAGGCCTTTGCCAATTATGTGCACTCAGAGAAGTCAGTTTTTGCCTGTGTGGCTGCGTTCCCAGTCGGTCCTAGGAGAGAGACGCTAACGGAAACTTCTTCAGGAATATTTTAATTTTATTCTTTGTCTGATAATTAAAAGCAACTACCGCAGCAGCTCGGCAGCTCTTTTCCGGACAAATACTAGCCTAAGGACTGCCCCCCTGGCGTATGAAGGTCTTCGATGTGCCTTCGCCTGGAGGGCAGCCCCGGATGGCAGCGGGCGGCACCAGCACGACTTTCCCCGCAGCAGGGCCGCCGGAACCGGGCTGCGTCCAGCCTCCGCCGCTGCTGCAGCAAAAGCGAGAGGCTTTTCCTGTCCGGAGACCAAATATGTCGGTGCCAGTAGCACGAGTATTGTTTTTAAAAGCGAGGGGGTTTTGCGCATCGGGCCGCCGGGTTACTCTAACTGCGCAGCCACCAGCCCCACGTCCTCCCTTGACGCTAGGAATACCGGTGTATTTATGCAAATCCATGCAGCAAAAATGTTTACTTCACTGCTTTGTTGCAGCTTTCCCTTGTTTACAACCTTTAGCCAACTAGGCAATTAAAATAAAACCAAGAACAATAGCTCCGCTTGCTCGTGCCTCCCTCCAGAGCTGGCGCTTTGCAGCAATGGAAACGTGCCCAGCTCGGTGCTGGGGAGCGGGGAACAGGAAGGGAAACGAAAGGAACCAAAGCCACCCTACAAGTCCCATCCCCGTGCACGGCGGTTCTGGCCGCGCCGGGTGCGTTCCCGGAGCGGAGCGGTGGATGCGAGACAAGGGCCCAGAGGAGGGAGGGCAGAGCGGCGGCCGGCACCTCCTCGGGAACCTGGCTGTGATTTTCCGAGCAAGGCCTCGGCTCAGCCCCGGCCTCGTAGGGATCACGCTCGTTTCTGGGCAGATGTGTCGTGTTTGTCGCAGTTTCTGCCCCGTCCATTCGATTTCCTACACGGAGCCATTACTCAGGGAGCATCAGCCGGTAGGGAAAATATGACGCAAAAGTATTGGTAGGGATTTATACCCCATCCCTCGACCCTCTGCCTCCTACTCCTAAAAAAGGACTGCTTTCGGCCGTCCTGTTCGATACAGCACTCTGCGGGACCCCGCCACCGAGCGAGAGCGAGAGGAGGGAGGGGAGAGGGAGAGAGAAATTAAATCGTTTTGCTAATCAGAGCGGATCTTTCCTCCCGTGGTTGCGGGAACCGTGAGGCAGGCTCGGCCACCAGCTGCGGCCTCGTTGGGAAACGCATCATAAGATAATATTTAGGGGTAGAAACATCCTTCTCCCGGTCTACGCATGGTTTGGGACTCCTAAGAATTACAGCCTTCGAGAAGCCCCCACGCAAGGTCTCAAAAGCTTCGTGTTTACCTGCTTGTCAGCCATCCTCGGGGGAGGCTGGGCCCGTTTTGGCCGTGTTTTGCGTGGCGGGGCTGGAGCAGCCCTTGGGGATGGCTTGGGGCCGGAATGCTCCCGTGTCTCCCTCCAGCCGCGCCGGCAGCAAGCGGCTCCGCAGGGTAAGGGCTGTGCTTGCCGGTCCCCTGCGAGGCCGGCCCGCAGCCCGGGCTGGGGGGCAGGAAAAGGCGAGTGCAAGGCCCAGGCACACACATCGGGGGCTCCCTGGGCCGGCCCGCAGCCTGGACTCCACTCGCAGGTGGAGCCGCGGTTCCCGCAGGCCGCTGCTGCTTGGACCACGGCCCGCAGAGCTCGTGGCAGGGAGCAAAAAGAGGGTTTTGAACACAACGTGCCATTGATAGACCCCACAGAAACAACCGGCATCCGAGGAGAGACGCGGGGAGAGCTAGCTCGGACCACTGCAAACTAAAGGTTTCTTGAGGAGTGCATTACAAAAGGGATATAAGGGAGGCCGATACATTTTATAATTGAATAAATTCTGTTTATTTTAATCAAATATTATAGAAGAAGGTTAAATATATTCCTATGATATTTTCTTCAAGATTGTTAAATTTATTTAATTTATTCCACATAAGATAAGAACAAGAATTAAAATAGTACAAGTGCACTTGTCTTGATTAATAAAGCGCTGTTAAATGTCTTACTTATTGATATTTATTATTAGGAAGTATATGTCGTTTCCCACAATCATCGTCTTTTAAGGTTGCAAATATATATATATATATTTATTTATATATAATTAGAAATTTATTGCTACAAACTCTGTATCAAATTTGAAAAAAAATAATGATGAAATGTTAAATCTGGAGATCGTTTTGGATACGCTTATAAACAAAATAAAAGCACAAACAAGTGAAGCACCCGAAGCAGGGAAATGTCAAACGGAGGGACATGGGGTCACTCGTCCCACGACCAGATCACGTAGAGGGGTGGATGAGCCGAGATGTCGGGCTTTAGCCCTGGTCATTTTTGATTGACTTGCACAAAGACATTTGGGGAAAAAATTAATTCGTCTGGCCTTCAGCTCTGTCTTCTTCCAGATCATGTGCTTCCTTTTTGGCCTCCCCTTCCTTTCCCTCCTGTCTGGAAGCGGGGAATTTGTCCTTGTTGTTCTCTTTTTTCCATTTCATCCTCCTGTTCTGAAACCAGATCTTTACCTGCCTCTCGGTGAGTCCTAGTGCGTGGGACACCTCGATCCTTCTCTTCCTGGTCAGATAGGGGTTAAATAGGAACTCCTTTTCCAGCTCTAGAGTCTGGAATCGGCTGTATGTTTGTCTTCCTCTCCTCCTACCCGGCGCTGCTGTTTAAAACAAAAACATAGGGGTTTGGAGGTTGGTGTGGCCGTTCAAAACAAGGCGCAGGCAGGCAGCGAGGACTCCGGTCCCTCCGGAATTCCTCGAGAGAAGCCCCACAGAACCGCCGGGAGAGAAAGCAGAGGGCACAAAGGAGTCTAGAGCTTTACACACGAGAGGAGCACAGCGATAGTAAATGCACGAAGCGCCTCAGCTGTCCCTCTGCATAGGATGTTGCAGGGTCACTTTATCATCTTGTATACCACCCCCTTCCCAACCCTGCACCCTTCCCGTTCAGGCAGCGGCGACGGGAGACAGGCGAGCGCATCAGCCGCGCCTCAGAGTCCGAGAGGCGTCTTAAAGGCTACTCTTGGGTTGGTAGCTGCCTGCTGCAGAGCTTTCTGCTTGCTCACTGCATCCCTTTATTATCGCAAGCCACCGCGGCGATAGAAATCGCGGTGAGAGAGGTAGGGAGTGGGGGAGACAGAGGCAGGGAGCGAGAGTCAGCGAGAAAGAAGCAGGAGGAGGAAAAGAAAGTTTCAAACTCAGACGTGAGATGGAAGCAAATTTTTGACTGCGTCCAACCTTGTGGTCTCATCCAGGGAAACATTTGAGCAGGAGACGAGCTCTGATTTAAGTGGTCTGGTTCCTCGCCAATATTAGCACTGGACGATTTACAGTCAGGATATTGTACCAGCTCGGCCTCTTGCTGTGTCGTAAAAATCTGCTGTCTCTGTAAGTTATCGTATCCGTAAAATTTAGCGGGCTCCCCGTGACAGGTAACCCCGCTGCAGGGGGCAGGAGGCGGAGGCGCGGCGGGGGGAGGAGGAGGCGGCTGGTAGGCGGCCGTGGGGCTCCCCCCGGCCGGCTGGTAAAAGTCCGCGGCCGCTCCGCCGCCGCCCCCCGCCCCGCCGGGCCCGGGGTGCGGGAAGCCGGCGGCGGCCGCGCCGTTCCCGTAGAGCAGAGCGGCGGCGGCAGCGGCGGCGGCGGCAGCGGCTTGTCGGCCGCTCACCTCGGGTGCGAAGTGACAGTCGTAGTACGGGGAATTGATGGCTTCCCCCGCCGCCGCCGCCGCCGCCGCCGCCGCCACCTTGTACTTGGAGTACAGCGGGTTGACAAAGTAGGAGCTCATCGGGGAGGGGGCAGCGACGGGCGGGGACACGGGGCGCTGCTCTTGCCGCCGCCGCCGCCGCCGGTGCCTCTACGCCGCGCTCATGCCGCCGCTGCCGTCGCTGGCCCGTGCGCTCCCCGCTCCTGCTCTCCGTGTATGTGGTGACCAGGACTGGATTATAATCGCTCCCAAAATGACCTGCCTCACTGCTTTTACTATTTCCTATTAGGCACACAGCAGCCCGCGCACGCACACACACACACACACACACACACACACACACACACACGCACATGAGCTCAGGGGGGACTTTTGGCTTCAGTTTACACGTGCCGCTCCTCGGGCAAGAAAAAAACTCGGCCCAGCCCTGCCCGGATCCACCCCGGCCGCGGCACCCCCGCTCCCCCCTCCGGTGTGCGCTCGCTAGGAGCCGCTGAAAGCCCCGCCGCGCAGGGGCGAGGCGGCCGCGCAGATCCCGCGCGATAACCGCGGGCGCGCTGCCCGGGGCCGCACCGCCCGGCTCACCCAGGCTGCGCTGCCCGGAGCGCGGCCTGTACCGCCGGCCGGCAAGGGCAGAGCCCCTCACACGGAGCCGATGCCCATCGCGGGGTCTCCGGGGTGTAGCAGAGGGCAGGGGGGCGCCCTTGGGGCGGCAGCGTGCAGCGGCCAGGCCCCCCCTTGCCAACGGGCCCTTCGGGTCATTTCCTTCCAGGCGAGCAGATCGCTGGGAAATGAGATGCACATTTACCCTTGACGCCTTGCACGCATGGCTGAGGCTCCAGGTTAATTGATACTTAATGGAAATCATGCCTATGAATATACTTTCCATCATTTCACCCTTGGTGGACGTCATTACCGAGGCAAAGGGGATGGGGGGGGGGGGGGAGAAAATAAAAATGTGTGGGTGAACGGTTAGCACCGCTCGGGGACTCCGTCCGAAATAAGTAAGCCCTGTTCTCCGGGAGGAAGGAAGGAAGAAAAACGCTGCCCAGCAGGCTCGGCGCTGCCCCCGCTCGGGCCGGCCACCCCCGCTGGCCCCCGTGCCCCAAGAAGCGTCGTCTCCAGTCCTCTCTCTCCCGCTTCGTCCTTCAGTGGGAATCATATTTTCCGAGAGACACCCTCAGGAGCTCGAATCCGCCCTATTTCGGAAACAGACGAAAAATGTAGGTGAAATATAATACGGGCCCAGGCAGAGCCACGTGTGACCGTCTGATGTGAATTGACAAAAAAATACTTGTGGTTACATAAAAGGCATCTCAGGCTCCTTCCCCATCACACCCCGCTCCTCCACCACCCCCACGCCTCCATGCCGCTTAACTCGCTTTGTCTCGCTGACCAGCCCGGTTGCCCCGCATGTGAGCACCCCGACGGGCCCTGTGCCCGCAATGACACCCTGGCCCGGGCAGGGGCCCCCCGGCTCGGGCCGCACGCCTTTAGGAACTCGCGGAGGTTTAGGGACCCCCGTGCAGACCACGGAAAGGCGGGGGAGGCGGGAAAGGTCCGGGGACACACGCACGGACAGACAGCAGCGAAAACCCTTCGCCAGGGACCAGCAGGAAGGCAGAAGGCCGGGCCTGGCAGGGGGAGAGCGGCAGCCCAGAGACGCTGCCTCACCCTGCGGAGGGGCACACAGAGGCTGCTTCCCGCATCCGCGCCGGACACCCCCGCTCCTCCTCCCGCGCAGCCGCCGGGGCGGTAATTGCGCGGGCCAGAACCATCCCCCGCGGGGCTTGGAGCGGCGGTGGAGCCGCGGAGCCGGGGCGGCGGTGGAGCCGCGGAGCCGGGGCTCGGAGCCGGGGCTGGGACTCGGAGCGGAGCCGGGGCTGGAGAGGGGCCGGGGCTAGAGCGGGGCTGGGACTCGGAGCGGGGCCGGGGCTGGAGCGGAGCCGGGACCGGAGCGGGGCCGCGGGCGCGCAGAGCGGGGCGCGGCGGGCGCGCAAGGGTGGAGCGCGGGCGCCCTCTGGCGGCGCGGTGCGGTAGCGGCAGGCAGCGCCCACCGCCCCGCACTGCCCGCGCTGCCCCCGGCCCCTCGGCCCCACCGCAGCCTCGCCAGAAACTCAAACTGCGCAACAGCGGCGAGGCCAGTGCTGACCGACTCTTCCTTTGCTTTCTGGTTTTGGGTTGGGTTTCTTCCTTTTTCTTTTTTCCTTTCTTTAAATTTTTTTCTTTTTTCTTTTTTTTTCCTCCCCCCCCCCCCCCCCCGTTGAGTTTACAGTGCCATTTTCTTAGCACATTTCGGTAACCTTCTTTTATTTTTTTGCCAGAGTTATAATTAACTGCATACAAAGAATGTGCCTCGTTTACACATGGCAGCCAGGAAAGACGCCTGAGCTTTGAAGACGACTGCTATCGCGTTTTCGATCATGTTTCCCCACATATTACACCACGAAATCTCCATGTGTGGTAGTTTTAGAGTTATACGTTTTTGTATTGAAGATGTTATTTTGTTTGCCCGTGCTTTTATGTATTTATGGATTGATTTATGCAAACGAAAGTAAAGATGAATCTTTGTTCACCCCCTCCTTCATTGCACATGCCTGTGAATTATTCGATATAATGCGTGTGCACAAGACTGTGCATATGTGGAAACATATATTAACACAACCAATGGATAGGAATTAAATTACTCTGTTTGACACTAGAAGTAACTTCCATAGATGAACTGCATTTCATCGATCGAGATGTTTGCTTTTCTTTCTGCCATTTTGAAATAAATGCACGCTATATTAAAAACAGGTAAACAAAAGGAAAAATACATATACAAGGTAAAATGTGTCAATCTGCCAGATATAAAATATTAAAAAGATGGTGTGGACTTGGTGAAAATTTCTTAACAGAGCCTCTGCTGGAATCAACACAATGCAGTTATGTGTACAAGAATATTGTTTACGTGTTGTTACAGATCACCCCCCTCTGTGGGTATTTGCGAAAATATTGAGATTGGCATCATATTGCAGTAGAATATCCAATGAAATACATTTGAACAAATAAGCGGACTTTGTAAAATCTCTGTTTCTTGACCTTCAGGGTTTTTTTCAGTCTGTTGCCTTGGCCCAACGCTGACATACTGAAATTTATAGTCCAAGGTTTTAAGACCTAGTTTGTCTGCATTTTTTTGCCTTTTTTTCCCCCTAACAAACATAAACATCAAAATAAGGTGCTTTCAAAGAAAAGTGCCATAGCATATCGTAAACTCATTAGGTCCAGACGTCTAGCCATCTCAATGGTTTTATTATACCATAGTTCTTCCTGTTTTAAAAGAATTATAGGTATCTTCTCGACAATGGATGGGAAGCAATGCAACACCTTTTCCTGGCAGTGCATGCTTTTGCTTTCTTTTTCTTTTTCTTTTTCTTTTTTTTTTTTTTTTTCCAGAGGTAAAAAACATTCAACACCAGGTCTCTCAGCTCTCCCCTTAATCTTGAATTAACCGAACTGCTCGTAAATATTTACGGGTCCTTCATTTTAATGGTTGCTCTTTAAACAAAGCATTTTTTACAATGAACTTCATCTCAATTATCTTGATAAAGTCATGTGTGTTTATAAATGCAGAAGGCATGAGGCGCGTTGCTAAATGAGCTCTCGCCAACAAAGCCGAACGAACGTTTGGCAGCAGCCGTGTCCCCTCCAGAGCTTCCAGCCTCCCAGTTACAGAAAGCAGAGGTTAGAAGCGACCCACCAAGAAAAAAAAACCTGGGAATAAGAACCACGTTTAACCGAATGGCCGTCATTGTGTTTCCTTGGCTCCTGAGGACTGGTGTGGAAGTATTTCCTAACCGATCCCAAGGGATCGCTGATGTTTGAGGGAGCGCTGGTACCTGAGGCCCGGGCAAGGCGGCGGGGGCACCTACCCGGCCTCTCCGCACCGACCTCTGGCAGCAGATGTGGCTCAGGGAGGCGGGGGAAGGTGCCAGAGGTGCTGCTGGCCAGCAGCTCGGCCGGCCTTTCCCCCCGGCCCGGACGCGCTCGGCCCGCGGGAGCTGCGCGGGCGCTGCGCGGGCGCTGCGCGGAAGGGCCGGCGGCGCAGGGGACATCGCGAGGGACGCACAGATTTCTCCTCTCACCGCAGCGCTGTCGTTCGGTCACGGCAGACTTTATTGTGTAATAACTGACAACAATTACAACAGGTCCGTAGTGCGAGACACGGAGCGGTTAATTAATACAACAGTCACCGGGGGCAGGGACGGCAGCGAGCCGGGGCACCGGGAGGCGTTAGGCCTATGGCGAGCGGCTCCAAGGATGAGACAACCTCCTAACAGTGCACTAAAGGGGGGGGAAGCAGCTCGTGGCCTCTCTGTGGCATCTATTGCGAAGGATTCAGACCTAGAAAGCAGAAGTTTGGGGAAAGATTTCCTCTTAGTAGGTCGTGGACAGCACAGCAACCCCCATTGATTTAAGCGACTGCAATTTAATATGTATTTTTTTTTAATTACCGTAATTATAATTAATTTCCTTACCTTCATTTTGGCAAAATAACTATCTAGTCTACATCACTTTTAAGAAACATGTCGAACATTTAACATCAGATAGAGTTCCCAAAGCTAACGTGCACTCACAATATTGTCAGCTAAATGGTCTGGGAAGGAGAAGGGGAGTATCAAGAGACTCTGAAAAACACGTTGTCAAGCAAGACAAAATTTCCCGAAATACCTGACACAGACCACGTTTCACTTCTACCAAAAAAAAAAAAAAAAAAAAAAAAAGCGCGATTGATTTAAAGTCCCTGGGGTGGAGTAGGGCAGGAGGAACGTATGGGGAACTAAGGGGTGCAGAGGAAGAATAAAACCAAACTAAGAAAAGGAAAAAAAAACAACAAAACAACAAAAAAACCCCCACAAACCGAACCCAAAAAAACCCCACACAACCAAACAAAAACAAGCAGCCACAACCCAAAACCAAAAGGACCCCCACACTCCCCCTATAAAAATCCAAACTCAAAACTAAATCAATAGTCCCCAGCTACGTTTCCACCCCAGCGTTAGTCTCCTTTATTGCCTTTCTCCTTGTTCATCTTTTTCATTTTCATTCTTCTGTTCTGAAACCAGATTTTGACCTGTCTCTCTGTGAGGTTTAAAATCCTAGCTACTTCGTAACGGCGGTCTCGGGTGAGGTACATGTTAAACAGAAATTCCTTTTCCAGTTCCAGAGTTTGATACTTTGTGTAGGGACAACGCTTTTTCCTCGTTGAACGAGCGTGGATCCAGTTTGCTGCAGGGTTATCTGGAAGAAGGGAGGTATATAGGGAACGGGGAGGGGGGGGGAGAGAAAGGTCGTTAAATTAATTTAACGAAGGATGGACTGTTTTCACAACTTTGGAGGAATTATCATAAAAGCCTTAATGCCCCAGTCTGTTTACTGTACAAATGATGTCTTGATGGTAGGTGGTTATGTGGAGTCTTTTATGGGTGCTTGTTGCTGCTTGCGCTGGGGTAGGCGTCTAGACGTTTTTATAGGTTAGTAAAACTATCAGTTTTGCACATTCGAGCCTTACAGGTTTCGGCAATAAATCAAAGGGGCTATTTCTTTCTTTCTTTCTTTCTCTCTCGCTTTCTTCCTTCCTTCCTTCCTTCCTTGCTTCCTTTCATACTTTCCTTCCTTCTCTCCTTCTTTCTTTCTTTCTTTTTCTCCCCTTCTCTCTCCGCCCCTATTCCTGTGTCTATTCCTCTCTGTCTCCCCCACTCCCCATTTTGTTTTGATTGTCTTTTTCTTTTCTTTTTCTTGTCTTTCTTTCTTTGGTGTTTTTTTGGGGTTTTGTTTTGTTTTGTTTTGTTTTGTTTCTTTTACTTACTTGGGTCAAGTTGCTGCTGCTTCTCCTCTTTCAGATCGCTGCTCGGGCTGGGGTTGTGGCTGCAGGCGGCGGGGTCCTTGGAGCTGCCGGCAGGCGCTTTCTCCCGGGACTCCTGGAGGAAGGAGCTGCACGTGTACTCGGGCACACCGATCCCCTGGGACTCCCGAGACGAGGAGCACTCAGTCCTTTTGGAGGAGGAGGAAGAGGAGGAGGAAGACGAGGAGGCGGCTGCTCCCGTCTCCGGCTTTATCCCGTAGTGGCGCCCGTTGGAGGAGCCGGAGCTGGACGCGGAGCCGCTGCTGCTGCTGCCTCCGCTGCCTCCGCTGCCGCCGCCGCCGCCGCCGCCGCCGCCCGGGAAGCCCGGGAAGGGCTCGATCCAGGAGCGCACGTAGCGGCCAGCGTCGGCTGCCCCTAAGTGGGGCTGGTGCATGTAGGGGTGGTAGATCCCGGTCATTGCCGCAGACGGCTGATGGTGAACAGTGGACCAGGAGGTGGAAAACACGGTGGATTTTGGTGCAAAGCTACAAGAGGAAAAATCTGAACTCTCTGCAACACCTGATGGCCTGGAGGTCGCACTGTGACCTCCCTGGACGAATCTACTCCCATAAACTTCTTCGCTTTCATGGCCTATGAGAGAATCGACATAATAGTTACTTATGGTGCCACTAGACGACATTTTAGGCTCCCCTCTTAGTCATATAAAAGGTTACACTGTTAACTGTATATGATACCCTCCCGGAGAACAATCGTAGTATTTTGCAGACTGCAACCCTCAACCATTGGTTGCGGAGCCCACGTGATCATATTTACCAATACTGCGAGTAAATCAATCCGCTAAACTGGGGCTGCTGTGATTAAAAAAAAAATCATCATCAACAACGGCCCCGCACGGCGTGCCGCACCGCCTGCGCCCCCGCACCGCGCCGGGGCCGCCCGCCCTGCCCTGCCCGCCCTGCGAGCCCCGCTGCCCGCCCGCCCTGCCCGCCCTGCCCGTGCTGTCCTGCCCGTGCTGTCCTGCCCTCCCTGCTCGCCTGCCTGCCCTACTTGCCCGCCTGCCTGCCCTGCCTGCCCGGGGAGCGGCGGGCGTGGCCGCGCTGGCAGCCCACGGCCGAGGCGGGTGCGGACTATTTCTTCACCTTCTTTGAGCGATTTCTGCCATTCATTTCTTAATCAATGAGTGGCAGGGTGTTTAAATAAATCCAACAGCCTTGGCTTGCTAATCACACTCCAAGCTGCTGAGGGAACCCGCTGGGAAAGGGGGATTCTTGCCTGTAAAAACAAACCATCGCAAGCTGGGACTGTAACGACTTCTCATAAAACAGGAAAATGTTACAGTAAAAGCACATTGCGGTACTTCCATATTTCAGAGGGTGTGCGGGTATTATTATCGCACCCCCCACCCCGGAACAGAAAGTTTCCACGGAAAGGATATACTTTTAAAAAGAGATGCCCATTGTGTTGTTTTAAAACAGGTGGAAGACCTCTGTAATGATTTTATGCCTTTCAATAAAAATTTTATGAGGTGTATTTGATTATAGATTAATGTGTCCCTAATAAAATGGACGGATGGAAACAGCAAAGCCTGTGTCTCCGAGCACAACTGACGTGTGGCTGAACACACGCTCCTCTATCTGCGGAATTTTGGGGCTGCACAGCCTTAACACGGCCCCCGTGGAGGTGTGCGGCGCTGCCCGGGAGGGCAGAGGCAGCGCGGAGGAGGCGGCCTGGCCCCGCAGCTGCCAGCGCAGGCGGACAGGCTCCGGCCCGCCGAGGGCAAGGGGCTGCCGCTGACCCCAGCTCGCAGGCAGAGCCGTCTCCTCCGCCCCTAGTTCAGGGGGAGCCACGTTCAATGCCTACGTGAGATTTTTCTTTGCCCGCTTTGCTTTCTTTTCCATGCCTTCCATCCCCACCCTTCCCTCCCGGCCTGGTTTTTGTTGCCCGAGCGAAGCGATGCCCCGTTAGGATTGAAAAGTGGATTACCCATGGTCTTCTGCCCACGCCTGCTTCCCCGGGCGAGGGACCGTGGCTGTGCCGGGATCTGGAGGAAACGCAGAGAGTTAGTGGCGAGCCCGCAGCACAGCCCGCAGCACAGCCCGCCGGGGCCACGGACAGCAGCGCTGGGAAAACACTTCCTACTCGCGGGCCGTTATGAGGAAGGGACTGAAATTCCTGTTTATTTAATGATTTATTGCTCTCCTAGGTTGTTTTCTTCCTTTTTTTTGCTTTTTTTTTTGGTTTTTTTTTCCTTTTCCTTAACCTTTTTTTTTTTTTCCCTTTTTATATTTTCTTTTGGTCATTTGACTTAAGCATTTTCTTCTGCGATTTCATAATTTTTGTTACATTGTTCTCTAGAAGCAGGGTTTGTGGTATGGAGGAGAATTGCCCCTCACTTCAAACAGATATAAATTGCTAAAGCAGGCAGATTAGAGTGAGCCTCCTTTTTACATGCGTTAAACTCTTGGTATGGAGCCAGCTATTTACTTCCCACTGCCGAAACTTCTCTGGTGGTGTAGCGAGTATGGCTGAAAGAAAAGAAAAGGCCGTGCGAATGTATGAAATATTTAAGGAGTTGGGGTTGTTTTGTTGTTTTGGGGGTTCTGGGGTTGAGGTTTTTTTGGGTTTGGTTTTTTTTTTTTGAGCATCGTTCGAAACTGGAGCAAGCACAAAATACCTAGGTGCTTGTGGCTCTCCCAGCTCCAAAATGATGATGCCTCGGTTTGAGGAATACATAGCCTCTTCCCTATGAGTAAATGTGCACATGAGGAAGGACTGGCTTAAATTAAATATCAGCGACGAAAGAGCAAACACAATGCCACCAACAGCATTGTGAGCAGTATCTGTCACCAAGTCGCACAATATTGGCACTATCTTGAGTTTAATTTCTTGATTTAAAAACAGCTTAGGGGAGAAATGGGCGTTGATTGTGAGCAAGCTGGTTTCCCAGCGCGAACAGTAGCCACGCTACTTCTCCAGTACCCGTTTGAAGGTGAAAGTATGCCCAAGTATTTGCACTTCAATTTGAAGTCATGTTCATTTGCAAGCTATTTGCAGTTCTGCTTAGTATATCTGCTCACACGGGCATTGCCCCGCTCTCAGCACACATGCCCTGCCTCAGCTTCCAGCGCAGAGTCCTGCTAATACCATTTTCCAGCTATGTACAGAAAGGGTTAAGAGTCGTGAACGTCATTAGCTGGATGTGTGCTACTAAAATGGAATTGCGAGAAATAAAACGATCTCTGAGCAAACAGAAACGGTGCAGGGTGACAAAAGTAGGTCTGAAGAGACTGGTGTACTTTTGTAAGCACGACTGGGAGGGTTTTTGCTCAAAAAAAGCCAACCTCGCCAGATGCTGAGAATATTTTGAGGGAATATTTTTTCCATCCACGGTCTTCTGAAAGCTGTTGAGCCGACCGAAAATCGAGCTCCTTAACGTTTACTTATACCCAGCTTTGCGTTTATTATGGAGGTTTTTTGTTGGTTTTTCCTTCTTTATTTTAGCGAGCAAAGACACGAAAGCAAAGTCTGCACATTGTAAGCAAGCAGTGAGTGATATTTTTTAAATCAATGTACAAACGTCAAATAAAATGACACACATATTCCTGACAGCTTGTAGTAGAAAGATATTTTTATCACTTACCATTTACGAGTTGTACAAGTTGATTGGATGAGGATGTCCAGTTTAAGTCATAATATTTTACAACTTTTTTTATCCATTCTCTTTTTTTTTTGTTTTGTTTTGTTTTGGTTTTTGGGGTTTTTGTTGTTGTTTTGGTTTGTTTTTTTGTTTTTTGTGGGTTTTTTTGCATTCAGTTTGTCAGACTGCGAATATCACACAACATTTTATCAATTAATCAGTTGTTTACAGACACATTTATAAATTAATTAGGTTTACATCATTTCCCGGCCCAGTCTCCACCCCACCCCTTAGGAAAAAAAAAAAAAAAAAGGAAGGGGGGGAAAAAATGGAGGAAAAGAAAGAAAGAGTGCCAGGAGGACACACACAAAGACCAGAATATGGTAAAAAAGGTACACCAGTCCAAAAAGTTGCTGATAGAGAAAGATCAGGAGACCAACCTGCATCTGTGCTTCAAACATTTGTAGAAAACCAAAGGAACCGCAGTAGTTTACAGAGTTTATTGCATTATACATGCAAACAGAACATGCACAAGAAGGACAATTTGCTGCTGAACGACTACTATTCCACATATGCACCACAAGGAAATGTCTACAATGGAGAAGAAGGAGATATTCCATTTTACGAAGGACAATCTCTAAGTTCATTTGAGAGGATAGTTACATTATAATGTGCTTCTCTTTCCCCCCTCCCCCACAGTTTCCCCCCGCTCTTTTTCTGAAAGTATTGAATGTACTCAAAATGTTATGGCCCGTGTAACAGCCCCACATAAATACCATTTTGTTAGTAAAAACATGAAAAAGTCACATTGCTTGGATGTTCGACAGTTCCAATAAGTTAAGACCAAATGATAATATTCAATAATAGTTACCCTGCATTACGATGAGAACAAAAATAAATTACACGTGCTAGGTTTTATATATACTCATCATAGTAATACATATTCACTTGCAGCGCTAAAAGAAGGACGAAGAGTCACATTCTATCAGAAAACAAAACAAAACAAAACAAAACTGGAAAATGCCGGGTTTTGCCAGAGTCTCTCCTGCCTTTATCAAGTGATGGTGCTGTGCCCATTCCTCACTGGTGCCCCCCCCGGGGTTAGGGTTTAAGAGAAGGTCAGATTAGCGGTCAGTTCCCGGATTCGGTTCTCCCTGCTCATCTTCTTGAGCTTCATTCTGCGGTTTTGAAACCAAATCTTGACCTGCCTGTCAGTGAGGTTTACGCTCTTACTGATCTCTAGACGGCGCTCTCGAGTGAGATACATATTGAATAAGAACTCTTTCTCTAATTCCAGTGTTTGGTGTTTAGTATAAGGACACCTCTTCTTTCTGCCACTCTTTGCAGTTAGCCAATTGCTTGTTGGAGTATCAGACTTGATTTCCTCTATCAAAATCAAAGAAGAAGAAAAAAAAAATCAAAAATACCTCAGACTGTTAGCGTGTACCCTTGGCCATGACCCCTCCTCTGCAGTGTCTGGCAGATATGGTGGATGTGGGCATTAAACACCGCTCGGGTGAGGTGTGGGCTCGGTGAGGGGACCTGGGCTCGCCTGTCCCCAGCACGGCACCCTGCCCTGCGGCCACCCCGCTCTCCTGCTCCTGCCAGTAAGGCTCTCTCAAGTTTTCGGCCGGCGTTTAACATTTCAACAATATTTAACCTGCCATCCGCCCCACGGACACATCTTAGCGGGTCTAGCCTCGCCATGGCCGACTCGGGCTCCCACGACAATTGCCACTAAAATATTCCAATTACAAAATAGTCTCGCACTGTAATTTGAAGCAGCATCCCCACACACATCAGCTGAATCACGCAAGCACACCTATAAACAGATACAGACATTTCCCAGACAAAATGATATACAAGAAATTACGACCCCCTGTCTTGGATTTTTTTTTTTTTTCATTTTCCTTTTAGGTTCTCTTTTCCCCACCAGAAATAAATTTACCCCACATGGAGCTAGACCTGGGCTACTAAACAAAATTCAGATAAAGAAATTTTCAAAGCACACAGAAGGTAAAAATCGACCTAGAGGTTGCAAAGTACATTTTGATAGCAGAAAAA